AGCAATCTTCTCCCTTGTTCATCTTCTGAATCTGGCCTGAGCCTCTGGCAACTCTATATCAATGTCCTGCCGCAACTGTGATTGGATGATCTTCAGCAAAATTTTACTTGCATGTGATATCAATGGTATGACTCTATAATTTGAGCATTCTGTCGCCCCCTGGTGGCTGAGTCTCAGATGGTGGGTTCCAGTCTTGGGGAATTTGTTAAATCTCTAGGATAGGTGTTCTGAGAATTCATCAAGAGGTCATCCTGGCAGTGTGTGTTTGGGGGTTTTGGAGGGAAGAGTTGGGGAGCACATTTGTGGGGTCATCAGTACAGATGGTCTTGGGGTGCCAGAGTATGTCCAATTTAGGACGCAGTGTTATCCTGGGATGCTCTGAGGGATGAGCAGGGGCTGGGAGGCTCTCTGTGGGACATGAACCAAAGGCCCTCCTAGGGGTGGTCAAATGTGGCCCTCTTGGGGGGTAAGAATAGATACTTGAATGAGGGGAGGCTGCATCAGTGTACCAGGGAAGAGGTTTTTTTTGCTGTTGTTTGTTTTGTTTAGTTGGAGTAGTAGAATGTGGGGATGGGCTTTGAGCACCAGGGAATCATTTCCTGGGCCATTGTAGGGGGACCTCGAGTCAGAACATAAGTCTTGTTGGTGGATATGAAGGTTTAGCGACGTAGGAACTTAGTGGGATGCTCGGAGCACGTAGTAGTAGGAGAGCTTTGTCGAATTAGTCAGGGGGAAACCCAGGAGGTGGTGGTTATGGGATGTTCAGAACCAGGGGGTGTTGGCAAGTAGCTCTTAGCGTGTATTTGGAGGAATTAAAACGAAATCATTTGTAGAATGCCTCTGTAGGATGATTCAGAGAAGGGATTAGCCTACCATAGTGCAGGGTTCTTTGGGAGGGGCATGTCTTGGGAGGCCCAGATCACGGAATCCTCAGGGGCACATTAAAGGGGTGAATGGAGGGACTTGGGACCCAGGGATATCTTGGGTCCATATCATAAGCAGTAGATCATGAGGATGAGGAGGGGTCAGAGTCTATTTTAAGGGTGGAGTTAGAGGGTTTTTATATGAGGCAAAGTGGAGGGGTAGCAAAGAGGAGGAGGCCCTTGACAAGATGGATGGACACGGCGGCTGCAGAAAGGGGCTTAACCATCAGAGCAACGGTGAGGATGGTGCAGGACCAGGCAATGCTTCGTTCTGTTGTACACAGGCTCCCTGTGATTCGGAACCCACTCCGTGTCACTTAATAACCACCACCCGAGGGCGCCGTAGTAGGGTCTTGGGTGGATGGGATAAGCAAACTCACTACCATCGAGTTGAAGCGAATGCACAGCCATCCCATAGGACCGGCTAGATCGGCCCCTGTGGGTTTCTGAGACGGTCACTTTTTATGGGAGTCGAAAGCTCCGGTCTTGCCCTGCGGAGAGGTGAGTGGTTTCGAAATGCTGCCCTTGCGGATCTCCGTCCAATGCGCAGCCACTGAGCCACCAGGGTTGGCTTATGAGGGAGATGGGTTTAGCAAGAATATCTTCAGGGATGGACCGTGGGAGGTGAGTTAGGAGGGAACAGGGCCTGGCGAAGGGGACGCGCTTTGGGGGCTGTCTGGGACCCGACCTGCGGGGTGGGGGTGCAAGGGGTGGCGGGAGGACAGGCGGAGGGTTGAGTAATGGAGACTTTACTGCCCGTCCCTTTCCGCGCGTCAGTAGCACTTGCGGTACACGATGTGGGGTCCCTGTTCCTCGTACTGCTCGCGGAGCACCCAGCAGGACTGGAACGCGCGCAGCGAGGCCAGGATGGAGCCCCCGATCCACACCGAGAAGTTCCTCGTGGGCTGCGCCGCCACCACCCCGTGCGCCTCCGGGGACAGCGAGCGCAGCAGCTCGGCCCGGAAGCGTTCCTCGAACCCTGGGAAGAGAGAGGAGCCCCCACACAGCAGCACGTTCTGGGCCACGTCGGCGCGCACCTCGGGGTCCACCTTGCTCAGGCTCTGCTTGGCCATGGTGGGGACCCCCACGGGGGACAGACCCGGCATCGCAGGGGGGTTGAAGAGCAGCTCCGGGCACTGGAAGAGCTCCTTGCCCAGAGTGACTGTCCTGCCGTCAGGGAGGGTCAGCACCTGGGGGTGCGGCTGCTCTCGGAGGCCTTCGGGCGCCACGTAGCAGTGGCGGTGCTTGATGTGCTCCACAGTCTCCAGGTCCTGCTGGCCCAGCACCAGCCCCGAGCTGCGCAGCATCTCCGCCAGGAAGGCTGTTAGGTGGATGCCCGCCAGGTCCAGGCGCTCGGTGGCGTGTGGCAGGTTGTAGCCCTGGAAGACCGGCACTGTGTAGGTGACCCCGTGGCCGGAGTCCACCACGAGCCCGCTGATGCGCCCGTGCGCGTAGACCGACAGCACTGACTGCGAGGCCACGTACATGGCCGGCGAGTGCAGAGCCTCGAACGCCACCTCTACCAGCTTCTCGCGGTTGGTGGCCGGGCTGAAGGGGGGGTCGGAGAACAGCAGCGGGTGATCCAGGGGGTCCACGCACAGGTCGTGTTCCAGTACGTGGCGCCAGATCAGTTCGGCAGCGTCCCAGTCCACCAGGATGCCGTTGCGCATGGGCTGCAGCAGCGTCAGCTCCAGGCGCCTGCGGGCTGCCTCGCCGATGAACGTCTCCAGGCTCAGCTGTCCGCCTTTGGTGGTCTTCTTGGGCAGGCAGCCTACAATGGTGGCCACTGTGTAGGTGGGCCGGGCCTGCCCTGCGAAGCCCACCTTACAGGTGCCGGTGCCCATGTCAATGACCACGGCACCTGTCTTGGATGGAGGTCTCTCACCCACCATGTCTGGGGAGTCGTGCGGCAGAGTGGAGTTCCCCAGGCCTGCTCCCGGGGCCTCCCAGGCAGACTGGGCTTGCTGGGGCTTGGAGTGCTTTGCGTCCATGGCTGGAGGCAGATGGGTGGACCGGGCTAGATGGTAGACTTGGTCTTTGAGACAAGCCCAGTCAGTGAGAGGGACGGGCGGCCAGCCCATGGTCTGTGACATCACTGTCCCTTTGCCAGCCACCTCAGACTTCACAATGCAAGAGCGGGTTGGGTCCTCCTGTGATTATTACTCAGTCACAAAGTTCTGACACAGGCGACACTGGGTGAACCTTGAAAGCACTATGCTGGGCAAGATCAGAAAGCACGGAGCTTCATCTCCATCGTGAAATGAATAGAGGCCATTGGTGGTTGCCAGGGGTGGGAGGAAGGGGCGAGGCTTGGCTAGGTGGCCCGGAGTTTCTGTTCATAGTGGTACACTATTACTGAATTGAGATGCCAAAAAATAGTTCAACTGGCAAATGTGCTATACAATTGAGGGGGTACTCGCCCCCACCCCGAAAAGTAGAATTAAAAAAAATTGTATTTAATTAAAAAACAACAACAACCTTATCACCTTCAAAGTACTCTGCATTACACTTAATACATTTGTTAAATCTGCTATTCCATTCTTGGAAACATTTTTCAAATTCATCTGTTTGGATGGCTG